CCATTTTTTTTTTCTTTTCTATTTTGCCTGGTTGATTTTGGGGAATAATTGTGGTTTCTCAGTTGGAGGTATTTGAGCCAATTTCTTGCCAAAATTACTGTTGTTCCTTATTTTGTTCATTACTGATTCAGGCAATAAGTTGTAATTTTTTGACAGGGTGACACGAAGGGATCTGCTAGCGAAGGTGATCGATCCTCTAAAAGGGATATAGCTGCTACTCAGATTGATCCAAATGCACTGGTAAGGCAACAAATAGCCTCTTTTTTATTTTGCCACATGAGTGTGTAAGTTTAAATGTAATTGTCCTTTTGATCCGGTGGAATGAACTTCAAATAACAATTTCATTTTGTTGTCTTCTGTTTGCATCTGTGTAAGGCCATAATTTTAGGTTGTTAAAATTTTATATATATCTATATAATAAGTCAAGAGTGTTTTTGAAAATGTCTTAAAAATGTATGTGAGATACATTTTGATCCCATGATTTAGATTCATTCTAATAAAAATCAATGGTTGAGATGTGTTTTCCTGCCCAAACACTTGGTCCTCTCTCCCTCTCCCACCTACCCACGTCTCTACCCATTCCATCTTTCTCTCTCTCCCTCTCTGTTGCACGCTACCTCTCTCCTTCTCCCCCCTCCTCTCTCAGTGGCTTGAATTCGCAACCCTCCCACTCGCTGCCTTGGACCTCTCTGATTCGCAACCCCGATTGGAGCTCTCCGTTACCACTCTTCCTCACTCCGACATTCGCAATCAGGACCGCTACCTACCCATCGCCAACATCAGTCGGATCATGAAGAAGGCGTCGCCTTCTAATGGCAAGATCGCTAAGGATGCCAAGGACACCGTTCAGGAATACGTCTCTGAGTTCATCAGCTTTATCACTAACGAGTACTCGATCCTATATATCTATCTATTAACGTTTATTTATTTTCTATATTAGGATTTCATGCTTTAGGATCGTGTCTTGTGAAATGTGATTCGAGGTTTTTGCGAATAGGGTGAGTGATAAGTGTCAGAAAGAGAAGAGGAAGACGATCAATGGTGATGATTTGCTTTGTGCAATGGCTACTTTTGGGTTTGAAGATTACATTGTTTCGCTTAAAGTGTATCTAACTAGGTACCGGGAGGTATAATTGTCTCTATCTTTGATTTTGTATTGGTTCTGCATATGTTTAGAATCATGATTTCTAAACATTTTAAGAACTCAATTCTCTGAAGCCATTTATTGTAATAGCCACTGTCGGCTGGAGGTTTTGTTTGTTTAATTTTCTCTGCAATTGAACCAAGGATTAGCTTATATTCTTATCTGATTTTCTATTACTTTGCATAATCATTATGAATTTAAACTGACGCCATTTTTTTTTTCTTTTCTATTTTGCTCGGTTGATTTTGGGAAATAATTGTGGTTTCTCAGTTAGAGGTATTTGAGCCAATTTCTTGCCGGAATTACTATTGTTCCTTATTTTGTTCATTACTAATTTAGGCAATAAGTTGTAATTTTTTGACATGGTGACACAAAGGGATCTGCTAGCGGAGGTGATCGATCCTCTAAAAGAGATATAGTTGGTGCTCAGATTGATCCAAATGCATTGGTAAGGCAGCAAATAGTCTCTTTTTTATTTTGCCACATGAGTGTGTAAGTTTAAATGTAATTGTCCTTTTGATCCGGTGGAATGAACTTCAAATAACAATTTCATTTTGTTGTCTTCTGTTTGCATCTGTGGTGGATAAATTTGGCAGTTTGCTCATCAACAGTCCTTCACACAAGGCATGAACTATTTGAATTCCGAAGTGTGAATTCCAAGTAAGTCTGTTTGTGTCTGTGTGATTAGCCTAATCCAAATGTAATTCTTGCTAAGTGAGCATCAACTTAGAAGTGGAGCAATTATGTGGAGATTTTTGGATACCCATGGAAGGTCACATTTTACATTACCATTTCACGCATTTCCAGCCCTCCCCACTTAAACAGTAAAGAAAATAATCAGGGAACCTCTTCATAGTGGCCCTCTAACTTCATGTTAAATTGCTTGCTTTGAATTTTCTCATTATCCACTGACCCACTAATAACTTATCAGAGTAGCAAAGGTTTGTAATTATATGATTTTTATCATATTTGTTTTAAAAAAAAATAAGTGATAAGCATAATTTTATAATAGACTCTTCATTTCTTAACGATAAACATTATGAAATTAATTAACTTATTTTATCAAATTCAAACCAGTGGTAAACCCTACTAATCAGATTACGCATTTCCAGTTAATACCAGGACTGAAGTGAGCTGCTATGGGTGTAATTTTGTGTTGTGACCTTGAAGGAACATCTTAAATAATTGATTATTAGGCATATACAATTATGTCATATTTTATCAAATTGAAACCAGTGGTAAACCCTACAAATCAAATTACACCTTTCCAGTTAATACCATTACTGAAGTGAGCTGCTATGGGTGTAATTTTGTGTTGTTACCTTCAAGGAACATCTCAAATAATTGGTTGTTATGCAGATACAATTATGTCATAAGGCTTGCTTGCATAATGTTTAAAGGGCCACCACTTTCATGGTCCCAAATTGAGAGCTTAACTCAGAAATTTTATATTTTTATCATTGAACAAAATTGTTTTCATCATCTAGAACAAAATTATTTTGTTTTCATAATTTATGTATGCTTGACAGATTTGATTCAATATCTACAGATTTTATTTCCATACAATGTATGTATGGTCAACAAATTAT